CGGCTATCAAGCCGACCCCCACTTTCGCGACAAGTACGTGAATTGCTCCTCTCCGAATCCGGTGCCTTCGCATTATCGGATCCAAGAGGGCTACCTACTTGTGCATTCACGGGGTAAGGATCTTCTTTGTGTGCCGAGTGATTCACACTTGCGCACACGGCTTCTTGGCGAGTTTCACGATGCGCCCGCCTCCGGACATTTTAGTGTCAACCGTACACTTGGCCGACTTCGCCAGCGGTTCTATTGGCCCGATCCTCTCAAGGACGCCACCCGCTATTGTGAGTCGTGCGAAGTCTGTTGGCGTTGCAAGTCATGCAACCATCGTCCGTTCGGTGAGCTACACCCACTACCAGTGCCCCCTGGGCGACGAGAAGCAATTGCTATGGATATCACCGGCCCCTTCCCGAAGCACAAGACCGGCGTTGATGGGATCCTCACGGTCGTCGACCGCCTCACCAAGTACGCCATGTTTTTGCCTTGCCGCTATCACGCAAAGGCACCGGAGTTAGCCGAGGTCTTCTACACCGGTTGGATTCGCTCCAAGGGCTACCCCAAGGAGATCGTTTGCGACCGGAATACTCGCTTTCTCTCCGACTTTTGGGTCGCCCTCGTCAAGCGATGGGGCTCATCTTTGAAGCCGAGTCGGCTCGCCACCCGCAAACCGATGGTCAAACGGAAAGGGCGCATCAGACCGCCCAAGTCCTTCTACGCACTCTCATCCATCCCGACCAGGTTGATTGGGTTGAGCGCTTGCCAAACGTTGAGTTGGCTTACAACACATCGATCCACCTGGCTATCGGGATGTTGCCATTCGAGTTTGAGCATGGTTCACCCATCTCATCGCCGCTGGACGCCACTTTGCCGCGCACAGCCGAGCACGACGACCATCTTGTGTTCCTTCGTCGCATGCAAGAGCTTCTTGTCAAGGCACGGGATCAGATGTCAAAGACGCAATACGGATGAGCCGTCAAGCCAACCGCAATCGCCTTCCTTGCCCGTTCCGCGCCGGCGATCTGGTTTGGGTCTCTGCCACGGAGTTCAGCCTTGAGCAGGACATCTCTCGCAAGCTCCTTCCCAAGTGGATGGGGCCTTGGCGCATTCTCTCTGCAGTTGGTGATGATCCCGAGGGGCCTTCATTCCGCATCGCGGTGCCACCTCACTTGCCCGTCCACACGGTGTTCCACTGTTCCAAACTCGCTCCGTTTGTTTCAGCGGAGTCCGACGAGTTTCCCGGTCGACGTACGCAAGACCCTCCTTCCATGGACGGATTTCAGGAGGCCGRCTACATCATCACCGACCGGCGCCATGGCAACAAAGAAACATAGTTTCTACTTCACTTTTCCYACTGCAGCCACAAGGCTGACCGTTGGCTGACGCGTTCGGAACTGCAGGCCACAGCCCCCGCCGTTCTCTCACGCTATCTTAGCAAAAGGGAAGACTACGCCAAGCTCTTCAGCTCCGCGCCATCCTCGCTACATTCCGCCATCGGATCGGCAGCTTCGCCCGCGCCCCGGCTCGTCTTCATAAGGAGGGGGGCGTGTTACATGCTGAGAGCCTACACACGGGCCCCTCACGGGACCCGAGGTTGGAATAGGGCCCCCAGGTCGCGTCACCGCAACATGAAGGCCCTATGGCAGTTTTACTTGGGCCTGCATCAGAAAAACGCCAGCTTTAGAGTATTTTTATATTCTTTTATTTTTTTAATTGCTGTTGTTTTTCTAACGTGTGTGCTGTTGTCCGTTTTGTGGCCAGGTACACGTTCTAGGGCCAGGACCTGATTCAGGCCCAGAGGCTGAGCCTCCAAAAACGTTTGGACCGTTTTTTTGTTTTCGGACAGATTTTGGACCATTCGGACCTGGACCGACGTTCAGGCCCGA